GGGGGGCGGGGGGGGGGGGGGCAATGGGATTTCTGGGACATTCTCTGAGGCTGTGCTACAAGGAGGAAGAGGGGCTGAGAAGGAAGCTGCTCTGGGCTCAGAGGGCTGTGTGGCAGTGGAGGAAGGTGCAAGGATCTGTGAGCAGTCGGGAATGAAGGGGTGCAGTTACGGTCAGGGCCCTGCACACTGCAGGGAGAGGGTGGGGGGGAGGAACCAACCCCTCCCCCCCATATGAGATCCCAAAGAACTGTTCCAGAGATATGCTGAGAACACCTGACCTAGTGCTGGGCTAAGACCCAGGCTCCCCGGCTACTTCCCACACTGGGCCAGCTCTGAGCTACCAAGTCCTGACCACACCTACCCCAGGCCACACCCCCAGCTCCTTGGCCAGCCCACAGACTTCCTGGGCAAATCTTCGCCACCCCACCCGCCACAGGACACCTCCGGTCTCCAAGCCCTGAGGAGGCCTCATCCCCACAGCCAGGGCCCTAGACTTCCTGGTCATCCTCCCACAGTCCTACCCCACAGGCCCGAGGCCACGCCCCAGCCCTGACTACTCTCAGGTCCGCCCTCACACAGGCCACACACACACACAGCACTCCTGCCATACTTCCAAGAGCTGGCCCAGCTAGTCCCCCACAGATACCTGCAGGCACAGATGCTCTTCTGAGCTCTAGCCCCACCCGGCTCCAGTTCCATCCACTCCAGACAATGCCTGAGCCCTGGCCCAAACCTCAGCCCCAACCCACTCCACACCAGGCCCCAGAGCCCTGGCCCCAGACCACACCTCTGAACTCTGGCCCTACCCCAGGCCCCAAGCCACCCCACCCCATACTTTACCCCTGGGCTCTGGCCATGCCCCAGTTCTGCCTCTGCCCCAGGCCACACCCCCTGGCATGGCCCCACCCCCAGGCCCCATACTCACATGAGGTCCCAGTCCAGATCCTCCCTCTCCACATCCCGCATGAGGTTCATCAGGCGCCTCTTGAAGAAGATCTCGAAGCGCAGGTCATCCTCGAAGACCAGCGATTTCTTCAGTCCCTTCTCCACGACCTGAGGGAGAACAGAGCCAGGCCTAACCCTGAAGCCAGCTCAGCTTAAAAGCTCTGGGGCAGCAGGCGGCTCTGGGGCAGCAGGTGAGAAGAAAATGCACCCCTCGCCGCCACTGTCTGGACTGACTTCCCCTCGGGCTACCAATTCCTAGAACATTCAACAACACATGCCCGGGCCTGGCTGTTCCTCCCATTCCAGGGTCTGGGACTGAGCTGATACAGCCCTCTCCCTCATGCAATGGCAGGTAGACTACCTCTCACCCTTTAGGCTTCAGCTCCAATGTCGCCCACCCAGGAGCTCCTTCCCAACCAACACCCAAAGCTGCCAGTTGAGGACAATTCATAGCCCTAGGTCCCTTCTCCAGATGTATCTCACTTATTTCACTCTGATTTGTTTCTTTGTGGCTTATCATCAGCCCGCCCACTTCCCAGGGCTGTGAGCCCCTTGCAGGAGCTGGGTCTGTCCCGGGGGCTATCATGTCCCAGCACCAGCACCAGGCCAGGTGCACAGTAGGTGCTTGGCAAATGTTTCCTGAATTGACTGAATCATCACTGAGGAAATTATTAGGCCTCATTCACGGCCATCACCCACGAACCTGGTACATAGTCAATGCTTAAGAAATGTCAGGCACGTGGAGATGAATTTTCATGACGGCCCCCGGAGGCCATGACTGTCATATGGGGAAACTGAAGCTCAGGCTGTGAGCCTTCCTCCTCACAGGGCTCAGCCCTCTAAGAGGCAGGGCTGGACTTAAACCCAGGGCCGCGTGGACACCACCACCTCTGCCCCATGCCACCCACAATGAATCTCAGAAAAAGAGGGCAACCTGAGCGAGCACTCATTGCCTGAAACCCCTGAACACCCACTATGCCTGGTATACAGTAGGCACTCCATTAATGCTGCCTGTGTGTACAAGATTGCTGAGCAAGAGCTGGCTGGCCACCACCCTGCATGGAGAGCCCTCCAAGGCCTGCCAGGGTCCGCAGGGGCCCTGCTGTCCCCAGCAAGCACACGGAGGCTGCTGTGGCCACTGCCCCTCAGAGCTCGTCCCGGGCAGCGCTGTCCAGCGGGGACTGGAGCACATCCGAGTTTTTGGCCTCTCGGCTCAGGGCCTGCTGCTCCCTCATCTTCTGGGATTTGGCACGGTCCCAGTCGGTCTTGACGTGCTCGTTGTTCCACACAACCGAGGTCTCTGTGTCGCTCACGTACCCGTCGTCCCCCGTGTAGTGCGTGGGGAACACGAGCAGAGGCTCCACGGAGAAGGCGCGCAGGTTGCGAGGGGAGAAGTGGGCCTTATACTCGGACCTGGAAGGGCAGGGAGTAAGGGGCAGCAGTGGGTCGAGGGGAAGGGACCGATGGAGGGAGAAGTGAAAGGGGACAGATTGAGACAGAAGGGGGATGGGGTTCAAATGGAGCCAGAAGTGGAGGGGACACACAGAGGAAGTGGGCAGAGAAAACGGCACCTTCCTGGGGCCCCCCCGGGATGCTCATGCCCCGCCCCCTCCAGGACTGCCGCCTGCGACCACAGCCCACTGCCCGAGCAACCCCTTCTCACACTGGGTGCTTGTCGAACATGACTGGCAGGAACTCGTCCACGGGCAGCATCTTGGAGAGCGGCTGGGCCGCCAGCAGCTTGCGGGCGCCTTGCAGGGAGATGACGTAGGCCAGTGTCCAGTAGGAGTAGTCGGCCTCCACCAGGTTCCTCACGCGGGGCACAGCCTTCTCGGGGTGCTCCACCTGCATCCGCTTCCGGCCCACATAGCTGGGGTGTGGAATTGAGGCCGTCACCCTCCTCCCGCCCACCAGAGAACGCTAACCCAGCAAGGCCCCTGTCCGGCCCTGGGGAGGGAGCAGGCTTGGGTGTCTGGGGCATAACAAGGAGGCCAGTGTGGCTGGACTGGCAGAACCACAGGGGTCTGTGGCCCTCGAGGAGGAGGGTGGGTTTCTCCCTAGGGCACTAGGGAGCCATGGAAGGATCTGGAGCTGGGGGGGGGGGGGAAACAAGGAGGCCGTGGCTGGACTGGCAGAACCACAGGGGTCTGTGGCCCTCGAGGAGGAGGGTGGGTTTCTCCCTAGGGCACTAGGGAGCCACCATAGGATCTGGAGCTGGGGGGGGGGGG